CTGCCTCTCTCCTCAGCCTTTAAATCAACTACATCTGGGTTTTGCTACTTAAGTGTGCCATTACCTTTTGCATTAAAAGGCAGTTACTCTTAAAGAAAGCAGTTCCATTTCATTAAAAAATAATTAACTAGAGTTATATTCATGTTATGATGGCAGCTCAAATGAGAATTTTAGTATCGGTTGGAGACCCACTTTATATCTACAACCGAGCCGGCAGGACTGGGAGGTTCTTTGTGATGAATGTTGGCATAAAGCAGTTATTTTGCTTTGCTGGTGTTAACTTGTACAGTTAAAAAAGCACAACATTACAGAATGGATGGATGGATGGATGGATAGATAGTAGATGAACAGAACCTATCATGGCATCATGAAACAGCTGAACCTTGATGTAGTCACGCTATACAAGAAGTGGCATCTTCTATGGAGCCTGGGGCATGTTATTATTATTACACCCAAAGCAAGTCAAACTCTGAGAACTGACTCCCACTAACCAACAGCATAAAAACATATACGTGTAAAGATTAAGCAGATTGAATTGAAGCTCACTGATTAGTGAATTCTTTCTCAGGAGAGAAATCGGCATGGAAGACAAGTTGTTACTTGAAATTTCATTGTAAACAGGGAATCTAACATATCAGAATACTAAATTACACTCAAGGAAATCTTGCAAACAATGTAAGGAGCTTGCACCACAATATAAATTAAAAGTGTTAGAACATCACTTTCTTCATTGAGAAAGTTTTTGATGGATGGATAGATAGATAGATGGCATAAATGAGCTCCACAGTGTGCTTAGTGATACTAATTTGCATTCTGGTACAAGTTCTTTATCTCAGATCAGACTGTTCACAAATAGTTCTCATATAGGCAATTATTCTGTGGACCATACCTTGAGAAGCACTGGTCTTTGCCTGAATCAGAATTACAATTGGAAGCCTTTGAAAACATATATTTTCTTAGTAATATTCCCTTGAAAATTCTGATTCAGAGTTGTGCTGTGTGGTGCCTTTATCTGCATTTTTAAAACACTCCCCATGTAGTTTTCTGATGAACTTACAAGGTTTAGGAGTGACATAATAAAATGCATAGAGCAATTAAGTAGAGCCAGGCTGAACAGGTTAGAGGTATGGAACATGGCCTGGCACATGGGGTTGAGTTCTTGTTTCTTCTTGAGCAAGCTGTGAATTTTCTAAGCATCAATAGTTTAACCTATAATGTGTCTGCAAAAAAAGTATATATATATACTATATATATGAAAGAGATCTGTCCAACAAAATCCAGACATTGTTAATATAACAAGAATGGTTTGCATGACATCAGTGTAACCTGGCAGCCAAGGAGAGTGGACTGGAATGCGCACGCATGAACAATAGTGACTTCACTGTACTAGTCAATGGGGGTGGTAGAATGTGTACTGTGTGGCCATCTCATTCAAAAAGACAGAGTGAGTAGAGCAATGAACCTGCATCAAATTTTGTGAACATTATTCACAGAAACTTTGGATGATTTAAAAGGCTTTTAGTGTTGATGCAATGAGGGCAACACAAATAAAAGTGTGGCACAGATGCTTCAAAGATGCTCAACAATCTGTTGAAAGTGATCCATATTCTGGAAGGCCTGCAGTAAGCAGAACAGCTGAGAATGTTGATCATGTATGGGCTGCAATGGCCAAAAATCGGTGACTGACAGTGAGAGAACTAGAAGCTCATCTGGGAATTCCAAAATCTGTATTCAAGATTTTGATGCAGGGTCTTGGCATGAAACATGTCATGGCAAATTTCATTCCACAGCTTCTGCTACCAGAGCAGAAGGAATTTCATGCTGCAGTTGCTAATGACTTGCTTCAAACCACTAACAATGAACTAGATTTCCTCAAGTTCGTAACTTGAGGAAATCGTGGGTCTATGGCTATGATCCAGAAATAAAAGGCCCAATGGAAGTTGCTTGGTTCTCTATGCCCAGGAAGAAACAGCAAAGTCACAGCAAGATCAAGACCACGTTAACTATGTTTTTTAATTGGAAAGGTGTTGGCCATCATGAGTACACCCCTCCAGGCCAAACAATGAGTGCTACCTCAATGTTTTTCTTTGGTTGAGAGATGCAATACAATGAAAACAGCTGTAGCTATGGGCAACTGGTGATTGGCATCTTCATCCTGACAACATACCTACTCATGCTTCACATCTACTGGAGTTTTTTGGTAAAACATCACATCACCCCGGTGATTCAGCCCCCTTACAGTCCAGATTTGGCACCCTCCAACTTCTGGCTTTTCCTCAAACTAAAATCACCTTTGAAAAGGAAGAGATTTCAGAACATTGATGAGATCAGGAAAATAGAATTGGGCAGCTGATAGTGACCCCAACAGAGGACTTTGCAGTGTTTTTGAGCAGTGGGAGAGATGCTAGGAGAACTGTGTGAGGTCCCAAGGTGCCTACTCTGAAGGAGACTGAAGCGCCATTGTCCTACATAAAACATGTCTTGTATCTTCTTCAATAAATGTCTCTATTTTCCATATTACATTGTTGGTACTTTCTGGACTATATATATTTTAGTCTGTGGCAGGCACTGGGATGTATATACATATATCTTACCTTAGTGCCTGCCACAGATTAAACAGTTGGTAAATATCATCTGTAAATGATAGTTATGATCTCCATGATGGAGATTTACCTGCTATATTTGGGAATACACATGTTCATATACAGCCCCAAATTCCCTGGACAAGCAAAGAGCATACTGCTAATGTTTGCCTATCTGAGGCTTCCTTTGTTAAACATCTATCAAAAGCATTAACCTAGACTCTTTTGCTTGTATTAGAAATCTGAGTCAGTGTGAGTAAAGGGAGAAGCAAAGTGGGCTGCTCAGGGGAAATTATTAGATCACACACTTTACAATGGAATGTCCAAGAGTGGATCTGGCTCAAAACATGACTGGATCCAGGTGCTCCAAAGATAGCCTTCTATCTGTATCACCTGCCAGTCTGTCTGTCTGTCTGTCTGTCTATCATTTGCCTTTCTGAGTTGGCCTCATTCTTAGGGTGGCTCTGGTTTTGCGATGAACTGTCAGTCAGGCATACATGTTACCAGTCTAATAAAGAGAGGTAAAATAAATTCTTTTGTGAAATAGTTGGATAAAATTCCAGAACTGAGACTTAGAATCTTCTTCCCTTTGTGAACTATTCACTCTAAGTAAGAGCAGAAGAGTCTGGTTTTCAGACTCAAACATGTACCCACTTCTGGATCTAGGGTGGAACAACTCCACCTAAAGCACTTGTTTTGAAGGTGGAAACAATGATTTCCCAAAAGAAATTTAAGGAGTGTTATTAGGAAAACAGGGAACATAATGCAGAATCCTACACAACAGACATTGGGTACTCTGGCCAACCCTCATTCACCCTTCCATTGTTGTTTAAATGCACTAGTTCAATTAAAATAAAGCCAAGATTTGGCTTAGAGGTGTTACATTCTGTAAAGATAACGTGCAGATATTTATATTAACTGACTTTGTATTTATTTTATAATACATTTTTGTAGGTTAAAATTTCCCCTCTACTTCTAACCTGGGAATAAAGGATAAAGGGAAGTTACCTTATATTGACCTTCAACAAAAAAATTTAATAACAATTTGAGTTTGGTTCTAACTTTTCATTATCTTTAGCTTGAGGCAGATTCACTCATATTTGATCAATGAAAATAAGCAACAGACGGTGTTAGAAACTAAGCTGCCAAAATTTCACAAAAGGGAACTTAGTTTTAGACTACATTTGTTACATGAAAATAATGTTACTAGGGATTATAAAATAATGGATATATTATGGATCACTAAATCAGTAAAAGTCACATAGCTGTTAATGATCTGGAACTCAGCCTGTGAAGCACGACTTGGCACAGCTGTCAAGTGGCTGAAAGTGTTGGTATGAAAATTAAGGACTTCAGCGCTCAAATCCAAGTCTGGCTCTTTTGTGGTGTGTGGCCTTGGACCCGACTTCTCCAGGATGCAATTTCCCCATATATGTAATTGGGTAATAAAATGTAGTCACTACATAGTGATGGGGTGGAGGGACTAAGTGCACTGACAGGGAGGTGCAGGCTTCTTCTGTGCTTTTCAAGCAGTACATATGCTTAACTGTATTCTCCCAGATGCATGTTAGACTCCCTCATAGTAAGTCACTTAGTAATTCTTGGTTCCTATGGTGTGCCATTTAGTCAATAACCATAGTATTCTTTAAGATGGCATCATAAATAGGACTAAATATTACCCAAGGTGAGAAGGCAAATGCACCTTCATTGGCTACCTTCAGTGCCTTCTTCTGGAGCTTCCAAAGGAGCAATGAGAATGGTTTTAGCTCCTTCCAAGGCTCTGCAGCTCCTTTCATATACTGTTGCCTATACCTAATATTCCATTAAGGACTGGTGATTTGGGCATCTGCCCTCTTCCCACTCCTCATTTCATCTTCCTAACAGCATGAACTTTATTACTCATTATAGAAATGGAAGAAGAAGGTTGACTTGTTCTGAGATGAGCATTTAATATGGTGTAATGGAGAGACCAGAGAACCAAGATTTAGATTTATATTATATAATAACTAACTCTGGTGCATTCTTTTTGGGTGACATTGGGCTCATTACTGACCTTCTCTTATTCTGTTTCCTCAGCTGTAAAAGAAAAAGAACAATGAGACCATCTGTGCCTAACTCTCTTACATCTTTGCTCTGAGGGTTAAATGAGATGATGTTGAAAACAAGAAAGCACTATCCAAGAGCAAAGTTTTATTATGATTGTGATGATTGCATATATGTATCAGTATATTAGCAGTTTGTTAACAATGGGATTTCTGTGTTCTCTGCTTCAATTTCTCTAACTCCCAGAGTTGCAGAGGATCCCTGCCAGATGGCTGATTTGCCAGCTGTGTCTCGTTTTGTCATTGTAAATATTACATGCTCCAACTGAGAGGCTTTGCTTATAATGTAGTATATTTTGTTCTTCATCTCTTGCAGATTGAAAATTACGTTGTGGAAAATATGAAGTCGGAAATGGCCCAGATACAGCAGAATGCAGTTCAGAACCACACGGCCACCATGCTTGAGATAGGAACCAGCCTCCTCTCTCAGAGCGCGGAGCAAACCAGAAAGCTGACAGATGTGGAGACCCAGGTACACCCCGAGGCCAGTCAGCAAACTCGTGAAGGGGGAAGATTTTTCTTCCTGTGGTTTACTCCATAAACACAGAGCACATTGTAGCACTGTGACTGAGAAAACATACACATTTGTGTATTGGTAATAACAACGACTGCCTGACATGCTATGCATGTTTCTTTAGATTAAATGAAGTTTGGTATATTTAGTGTTGAATGTGTTTATGATAACAGGACTGGCAAAGGACTTAATCAGTGTTTAAATTAAAATAAACACTGACGCTACCATTTGGGTCAAATTGATACCATTCATGTACATTTTGGACCTGTCTTGTTTTGTCTCTGGCAGTACTCTAGCTGTAGTGCTACTTACAGAGGTTTTGTGCATTCCAGAACTGGGAAGGAAAAGCCTCAGTGAACTAATCAGGAAGGTGTAGTTTGTTTGTTTGTTTGTTTGTTTGTTTGTTCAGCATGATTTTATGATGAGGCAATGTAAACTCTTTTATTTATACACATATTAAATATATGTGCAAAAACATATATGTACTTATAAGAACAAGATATGCTATGTATTATTATATTAACAAAATATATATTTTATATACATTAATAAGATGCTATTATATATATATATATATATAACAAGATAACATGTATTATATATATATTACCTACCCTACTGTGGGCAAAGAAATACCTATTTATGTATAATCATACTTATCTGTGCACAAATCAGTAAAATGCCCTTTAATCATTGTTGTCACAAACCTAGTATTACAGTTTAGTGAAAGCATCACTTTTGATAATCAGAAGTGTATCTCTTGGTCTGCTTTGAACTATGAAAACAGTTATTTCAGTTACCATTCTGAAACCCAGTATGGTTAATTTCTGGAAACAAAGCTGAGATAATACTGTTAAACTGAGGCATATTAAAATTTTCAAGAGTTTGTTTGTGCAAACATTGGTTAGAATTGGGCAGTGCCTAAATAAATTGGTTGGGCGTGATCTATCTCAGGAGCTGAGGGAAGGGTTTTAGTAGAGAAGATGAGAAAGTACAGCAAGTATTTGATTGGCTACAGTTTAAGGAGTTGCCTAATTTGGGAAAGCCTAGATGGCTGTTTGTGATTTGTTGTTGGGCTCAAGTGCATTGACTCTGGCTTAGGTTTTGGTTTGCTTTTGTGGTTTCAAAGGATTACAGCCACCTGTCTAATGTCCTCCTTGTTTGATTACAAACTTAAAAGTAAGATGCAACCTTATTTCTGTTTTAGTTCATTTGTTTTAATATCATTACATTGTTAATATTTAAAAAGAAATAATAATAGTTTATATGTATAGAGCTGTTTATGTTACACAAACCGCTTTCTCATGTACAAAGGATTTTTACAAAAACCATTTAGAGTAGGCAGGAGGTCAGAAAGTTTGAGTGACTTGATATAGCTGGTAAATCAAATCTGAAACTCCAACCCAGGCATGATTATTTATTTCCTTTTCTGTCCCACTTGATTAATTAAGTAATTGGATGAGAATTTAAATATGGATTGCATTTGAGTAATAAATCACATAGGCTTTGCAAAATACTTTTTGAAGATAACATACTATCATCAGATAACCATGGGGGTGGGGAAGGGAAAACTACATATAACTAAAATGTATGAGACTTTATATACTCATTTTTCATCACAGTAAGTAAGCTGGGTGCTCTATGAACACTAGCTCCTTGTGGTATAAATAATGTGAGTGTATTTTCTCTATTTTCCTCAGAACAGAATGCTCACCATCTCCGACAAAGCATTCTATGTATTCAAAACACAAAATATACAATTAATATTAACATACTTGATTGAACTTCAAAATTTATTTCTATTTCTGATGTAGCATTATAACAAGTTTTATGACAAACATGGCAGTATTTTGTCTTTATTTTTTTTCATCCCAGAAAACCTTGAGTTGTTTTCGTTGTCTTTCTACCTAAGAATTGGATTTGTGTGTCTGTGTGTCGGGGGGAATCCCATCATTAACACATGAATCACTGTTCAGACACATGCTATGTAAGATTTTAAGAAACAACAACTTGTTCTGCATCCTTAAGGCAAAAGGATGTACTTTATGGAAAATAGTACAGAAAATTGATAGAAGCAAAACCTACTCCCTATGTTGAATAGCTAAAATTACATACCCATTAAAGGCCAATGAAAGATTAAGATGCACTAAGAATTTTAGGATAACTAAAACCTTGAAAACATCTTAAAAATCAAAAATCCATCACAACTCATCATGAGAGGAAGGCTCCAAACCCTTTTCATGTGAATATAGACCTATATGGTGCTTATTTGAACCTTTGCCACAGGATATATTACACTCGGGCATGACTATTCAAGTGCACTCAAGTCTTGATGTACAGCCAAGGTTACAAGATGAGTCCTAAATTATTCCTTAATCACAATATACTCTATTGTTTTATTGTAAGCATTTATAAACCAATAAAGCTTTCTGTGCTATCTAGGTGTGCTCCCAAGTTTTTCTCCCATATTCATTCTATTTTGTTTCATAGTGGCTAAGTGATGCTTTTCCCAAACTAACTTCAGGTCCTCAGTTATTTTAGAAGCTCATGCCAATGGTTTTGCAATGTATTTTAGTGCCTTAGCTTTCATGTGTTGATGTAATAAAGATAAGTAACACTGCTTTCCAGTCCTCTGCTCACCTTCTAGGCTTGAGAGCCAAGGCATTATAGCTATGGTTTTATACACTGGCATTTAAAAATACTCTTGTGCTCCTTTCGTCGAGATTAGAAACGAGACATAATGAGCACATTTCAGTAACCCTGCTGGCCGTGGTGATGAGAAGCAGGAATCCATACCATGCTTGTTTCTTCCTCTCTGTTCTAGCTTTCAATGTTTTTCTCACTCTGTTATCAGTTTGTACCAATATCTCCTCTCCTTCCAGTTCCTCTTTCCAAGTGCACAATATGTAGGGGTTAGTTTCAAACATTATTCGTTATTCGTACCCCTTCCTGTAGTGAAAGTCTATTTCTGACTTCTTCCTCAGAAGTCAGAATTTTGATTAGAGGCACAATAATAGACAAACTCCATTACGATTCACCTCTAAAAATATAACCTGTGCTCAGCTCTGTTCTAAGAAATTTTACATATGTTGCCTATTTACTAATTCTTTTAATTCTATGAGGTAGGCACTATTACCATCTCTTTTTTTAAAATATGGAAACTGAAACCAAGAGAGGTAAAGCAACTTGTCCCAGATGAAAGAACTGAGAACTAGGAAATGTTAAAGAGAAGACTTGAACCTAGAGTCTACATGCTCTAATGGTTCTCATCTATACTGCCTCTCCCCTGTGATTCCTTTCCCTCTCTCAAATTGTGTACACTAAATGAATTTCAGCAGAGGGTAAGATGGAAATCAGACAGAGCAAAAGGAAGGGAAACCTAATAGCAGCCACTGAGTGTCTTCTACACGGGATGAAGGTGTTACTGTTGCTTCTCCGTCGCTGCTGATGTTTCTACCAATCATTGCCATTTTACTTTGTGCCTGTGGAGCACCTCACGCAGTCCCTGCAGCCAGTGCTGTCCTTGTCGGCTGTGTAACTATTGGATAGTTCCTTGGGTACTCACCCTAAATTTCTTCCAATTTTCTATCATTTATATGGGTCCCATAGTATCAGAAATGGAATTTTATATTTTAAGTACCTCCTTGATGCAGTTCTTATCCTCAGTGAGTTTAACTGAGTTAATCTGACAAACTTTTCTAAACCATTTCTTTCTTAACATTCCATTAATAAAGCTTTTGAACAGAAGCAGTGTATTGCATAGACGTTTGACCAAGAACATTGGAGGAATATATTTTCTCAGTGCACTAAGAAACAGGACAAATTTGGCCACCTTCCTATCTCAAAAGAGCTAGTTAGTGTTGGGGTGGAGAGGGAAGAAATCAGATGTCATCAACTATGATGGGCAGAAGATCTCCTGGTAATTGGACAGACCATTTTTAGAGCAGTTGCTATTGACTGAGGAGAAGTACCTTTCTCAGCGACAAGGAAGCTGCTTATGCATAGCTATGTGTGAGCCTGTGGGAAAGAACTCAGTTTCTTAGACCCACAATTTCTGTGTACAATATAAAATAGGAACGTAAGTACTATCTCTCCTAAACTTCATAGACCAGTGAGATTATAAATATACTATAAATAGAATATATATTTATAGGTAATGTCATTAGAAATACAAAATATTTTATAAAATAATTATGTAGCATTAATTATATATTATTATATTATCATGAATAAAATTAATGATTACTCTTTTACGATTATCTAATTTTCTTGTTTTTCCACATTTTTCATTGTTGTTCAAGTGCAGTTGTCTTCATTTTTCCCCTCCCACTCTTCCCCACCCAGCCATCCTCACTTCCCAGTTGTTCTACCAAAAATTTATGATAGACATTTTATTTTTTAAGATTCAATAGTTCTTGTTTTTTTGGAGCAACCTCCTGATTTTTTTTGAGATTTTTAAGAAACTGGGTGAATTATTTTTTAAATGTCCCACATTCTGAATTTGTCTTCATCTTTTATAAAGGTGCTTTTAAATGAACTCTTCCATTGCCCATGGTTTATTTAAGTTGGAAATTAGGTCCGTAGGCTCAGTTAGACTGAGAGGAACACTGCGGTGGGGGCACTCTGTAGTACTGGCGGTCACCACCTATTACACCTCGTCAGTGGGCGCACCTGCTAGCTTGCCACCCTCTCAGTGATGCCATTTTAACCTAAGGTTAGTTAGAAGCATCCACATCTCTTCATCCCAATCACCTACTTCCCCCTGGGAATTAGTGAATAACCTATAGAGTAGTATTTAATCACATTGCCCATCATTGACCAAATAAATTATTTCATTGATTTCTTAAAATGGTGATCTCCTAACCCTCATTCCTTGTATGTGCATCAGCCTTTATTCTTCTGTAAAAGTCTAATTGCCAAGACATCATAACTTGTGTTATATTTTTCACTTGAAAAACATAATTAAAGCAAAAGGAAACACAAACCTACAAATAAGGCTGATTTCAAAGTTAATATGCAGGTGAATAAATTTTTTGGGGGGAGATGTTCCTGTTAAGGAATATGAGAGGGACTTTAAAAGTATTAAAAAAGAAACTGGCTAAAATTCCTTAGCTCACTTTCATTGAGAAACTAGACATTTTTATTTTAAATTTGTTTATTTTTTAAAGAAAAACTAAAATTTTATAGTCCATGAATCCTCAGTTTTAAGTCTTAAGTATTTCTTATTGTCTGGTATATTATGGAATATTTAAGCCTTGAAATTGTTTAGTGAGGTTTTGTTTCATATTTTCTTTCTCTTTTTCTTTCTTTCTATCATTTTTGCAGAGATGAGCTTTTGGAATGTGTTTAGGCTAAAGAAGGAAATATCTTTTGTCATTTTAATGGGACACTTAGATTATTGCTAAGCAGCAAGTTCCATGGACACCAGGCAAGAAAGTGGTCAATTTATCATAGTTTCCTGCATAGTTCTTTCAGTTGCTCACTTTTGAACTTCAGGCCTATTTTAAAATATCAGTACAGAGAGCTGAAATAAAGCAGCTATTGGATCAAGGCGATGGGGAAAGAGAAGAAGGCATTAGCATTTTTGCTCAAAACTAACCTGAGATGCCCTGACACTTAGCCTGGACTTCAGAGATTGTCTCCCTCCCCAACCTTCCTGCTTCCACATTCACATGCTGCTTTAGATTTAGGCTACCACTGAAGCCCAGCTGGGTAGTCACATGACCTGTTACCCTCTCTCTGAGCATTATTCAACTTGAACAACTCACTGTCTGTTGTCTAGCCTATCATTCAACAAATAGCTCTGACCCCGTGCTTGGTTCTGGAGATTTGGAGAATTCCAGGTGGAACAGTACCACCTTTGTACAGATGTCCTCGCGAGGAAGAAAGATAGCAAATGAGTGAACGAATAGGTTGATTTTAAATAGTGATGATTCCATAAAAATAAAATACAATAAAAAAATAAAACAGGGGGAACTGATGGAGAACAATACTTTACAGAGAGTTGCCAGGAAGGGCTCCCCTGAGCAAGACCCAAGTGACGAGAAGAAATTAGAGGTGTATTTGGGAAGGGGTGGACATTCCAGGCAAGGGAGACTGCAAACACAAAGGCCCTGAGGTGGAAATTAATTCAGCATCTTGTGGTGGCAGAAAGCAAGCCAATATGGCTAAAGCATAATAAATAAGAAGGAGCCCTGGCAGGTGTATCTCAGTGGACAGAGCGCAGGCCTGCAAACCAGAGGATTGCAGTTCAATTGGGTTGCAGGCCACTTCCCAGCAGGAGAAGCACAAGAGGCAACCATACATTAATATTTCTCTCCCTCTCTCTGTCCCGTCCCATCTAAAGATAAATAAACCAAAAAATCTTTTAAAAAAAAACAAGTAGAGTAATCTGAGAAGTAGGTTAGGTTCTGAGCATATAGGACCTTGTAGGCCAGGCTAAGAACTTCAGAATTTATTCTAATTGCAAAGGGAAGCCATTGGCAGATTTAACATAGGAAATAGCATGACCTGTTTATAGAAAGATCACTGTGGTTGCTATGTAGCAAGTGGATTAGAGTTAGGATAAAGTAAAGAAAAAATAGGAGCTGTAGTAGTCTCTAGAGTTAGAGTGATCTCAGCATCTAAGATAGCATCTAAGGTAACACAGGCAGCTTCAGTTTTAATTTTGGATCATTTCATTCTTTCCTCAGTGTTCTCTCGGACATGGAGAAGAGCAACTTCTGCCCTTTGTAAAATAAAATTTTTAGTGTTTGAGGATATCAAGAAGTGTGATCAGAGAGAATGATGAGTAATAGAGAAAATATTTTATTTAATGGCATATGTTATGCTGAATTCAGTGAGACAATGTACTTTTTGTTTATTCAGTAGGTAGTCTTTGTGCCAACCTCTGCCACCGAAAAATACAGCTGTCTCATTCCCTATTTAATTATTTGATAAATTATGATTCTAGTTAATACACAAATAACTGGTTTGTACAAAAATATGTTTAATAGTTGAAAGTTATGTTTTGTTTATTTGGTCTTTATAATCTCATCCAGTTTTTCCTCTAGACTGTTCCTAACTCTATCTTCAAATCCCACATCTTTTTGCTCCTGTTTTCCCTCAATGAAATGACTCAGAATAGTAAAAAATTTTTAATTCTAAAAAACTCCACCAATAGAAGGTTTGACAGGCTTTAGTAACTGTTAGACTGGCTTTCAGATCCATAGCCATGGCAATTGTATAAATGAATCATAGCCCTTGAGTTTTTTAAAGCTCAAACATCCCATCTCACTACTCTCTTCTCCACTGCCCGCCATCCATGCTCCACTTCACTGGGACTAGGGTGATGGGGGTGAGAACAAGTGATGAGAAACTGAATTATACATACATATCCAGAGGCAGATCCTTTTTTATTTTAAAATGATATTATGCTCAATGGGGATCTTTTGCTTTAATTGTGATCTTTCAAAATGTTGTATTAAAATATTACTTATCTTGATTACTGAGTTTTTTGGCACCTCCTTAAGTTTTGCAACTGAAGTAATTGCCTCTCTCATCACCCTAGTCCCCATCCCACTTCCCTGAAAATGTCTCCTTCCCCCACAACTTCCTGTAGCCCAAACCCAGCCTGCATCACGTCAGTCTATTATTACAAGATTTTCTCTGTGCATCTGACATACAGTTAGATCTGCTACAGAAAAGGAGGAGAGCATGATGGTGACATTTTTAGACAAAGACACTTTACATCGATTATTGACCCTCCAGATAATTTTCCAGGTCCCTTTCAATAAGCAGTTGTAGCAAAAATGTGCTTGCAAACATTTTCAAGTGACATGGGGAACTTTTAAAACCAATTGCAGCTCTTCTCTGCCCTTTTTACCTCTCTTAAGGAATAATGGTGGGAGCAGGACAGAGATGAGGAGGTGCAAGGACATTGACACAGTTTGACAGCATCTTCTAGGACTGGAGTATGTGATGTTTGTTCAGAGGATGATTGTGTTTGACTTCACAGATTACAGACTCACACTATAGTGAAGCTTAACTAACAATGTGAGTCTTCAGGATTCCAGATGAGGTGAATATTTAAAGTTTCTAGAGGACCCAGTGTAATGATCTGAAAGGATACCCATGGTCTAACTTCATTGTGATCTCGGTTCCTGATTACTTCATCTCCTAAGGTGAAGACCCAGAATAGGGTAGTTTGACTCTCCTTAGTTTTCTGTAGAGATCATTAGAATTAGAACTGAAAACTAGCTCTTCCCTGAGTTCCTGTTTGGATTTGTCTCTTGCTGAATCTGTTTCCCCATTTATAAAGTGACGGTGATCATTCCTCCTTCAACAGGTGCCCATGTGTATGACATATGACACCTGGAAGGGCTGACATGACCAAACATAGGTGTTCAGTAAATGTGTGATCATGAATATGGCTAAACTATGTGCAAAGCTGTTTACACATTTCTAATTGGTTTATGTAAAGTGATGGGTCCAGGCAAGCATATTTTACATACCTATTAATTATTCTTAATTATATACAATATCTTAAGAACATATACTAATACTCATTTTTTCACTTGTAAATATTGGTGATAATATATACAAAGCAACTAGCATAGTGAAATAGTCTAGGAATTCAGGACACAAAAATTTAAATTTGAAAATTGATTTAAGAACTCAATTTTCTCATTCAATTACAACCTCAATCTCAAATGAATATAATGTTTAACAGATATGTAAAGCATTAACTGGTAGAATGTAGGCCATTTAATTAAATATTCTGGAGGAAATATTAATTTAAAAGAAAACACCACTAAATTTAAAAAATGCAAATAATTGTTTTTACTCTCTGTGTTGGGAGTTTAAAATATTTTTATCTTTAACTTCAGATGCTAAATCAAACATCTCGACTTGAAATACAGCTGCTGGAGAATTCATTATCAACATACAAGCTAGAGAAGCAACTTCTTCAACAGACAAATGAAATCCTAAAGATTCATGAGAAAAACAGGTGAGGATTGTTGGATTCCAAAAATATTTAAACATGACATTTGTATCTTCCAACTCTGTGCTCTTAAAAAATTGAAGTGGTTTGCAAAAGAAAGGATAAAAGGAAGGGAGGGAGGGAGGGAGGGAGGAAAGAAGGTAAAAAGATCCAGCCACATTAATTTAGAATGTAAAAATAAAGGAAAGCTGTCTCTCTCTTTTCCTCCCCCTTCTCGTATTCATAGTTTCTTCTTAAAAAAATACATTCCTTCCAGATCATTTTAGACCAGATCATTTTAGACTTTTTTTTTACATCATGATGCTTCATATGACACCTGGTATCTCATCCTGCCATGGAATTCTCACCATGGAATGTTCTCTTTGAAAGGAAACTAGTTGAAAGTTGTTCACTCTGCTCCATCAGTAAAGTTAAGCCCAGGTTTGAGCCCACAGCAGCTCAGGCAGAAAAGGCTTCTCTGTGTGCCCCAGCCTATGGGAGGAGTCCTATTCTTGGCCCCCAGCATGTGCATGTCTGCTGCTAATGAATTCCTCCCTCCTTGAATTCTAATTTCTAAGGAAAATTCAGGTTTTCTTACATGTATGAATCATACCAACTATTTATTTATTTATTTTTAATATTGCTTTTTTCTTCTTTTTATTGTTCAATTACAGCTGTCCCACGTTTTCCCCACCTGCTTTCCCTGCCCCACCCCACCCCGCTCCCACAGTCAGTCCTAACCCTGATGTCCATGCCCATAGGTCCTTTTTACATGTTCCTTGACTTGCCCTTTCCCCTTCCTTCCCCACGATCACCCTGCCCCCTTCCCTCTGATCACTGTCAGTTTGTTCTTAATGTCAATGTCTCTGGTTATACTTTGCTTACTTGTTTGTTTTGTTGATTAGGTTCTACTTATAGGTGAGATCATATGATATTTCTCTTTCATCACCTGGCTTATTTCACTTAACATAATGTTCTCCAGTTCCATCTATGCTGTCATGAAGGGTAGGAGCTCCTTCTTACTTTCTGCTGCATAGTATTCCATTGTGTAAATGTACCCTAGTTTTTTCCTATTTTTTAATTTTAATTGTTGTTCAAGTACAGTTTTCTGCCTTTTACTCACAGCCCAGCCCACCTCCCAAGCCCTCCCCACATTCCTCTCCTTTCCATGCTCCCCTTGTTTTTGTCCATGTGTCCTTTATACTTGTTTCTGTAAACCCTTCCCCTTTTCCCCTCAGATTCTCTCCCCTCTCCCCTCCGGTCACTGTCAGCTAGTTCTCTATTTCAGTGTCTTTTGTTATATTTTGTCTGTTTGTTTTGTTGACTAGGTTCCTGTTAAAGAATACCACTTATTTTTAATAATATTTTTCTAGGACTATACCCATTCCATTTTCCAGCAACAGAGGTATTACACTATAAATTAAGAAATTTATGTTTTAATTTGAAATTTATCTCTGGGCTCATGCTGACAAAAATATGCCTCTTTTACTCCTACTCTGCGACCCTTTCTTCTCTGATCCCCAGTTGTGACATTACCTCACATGTGTTTCCAGGGAGTGTTTTTCTATCCATGTGCCGTGTCTCCTTGCCATTTTTCTGTAGTTACCTGTGTCTTCCTGTTGAAGGATTCAGTGTGTGTAGTGGAGTGTTGGTGGGACATCTGTTCTTAAACCAGCAATATTCTTCCATGAACCACTTTTAAAAAGTCTTCTTTTTTATAGAAACCCAAGTACGTACTTGTGGTACACAGCATACTTTCCCTGTTCTGTTTATTACTATTGTTTATTCTCATATGTGAAATAGAATTGCAGCAACCTTGCCAAGCACTTTCTAGAGCAACAAAGAAGTGTAGGCCCTCAACCCATTTAAGTAGATAGAAGGTTGAAGTCAAACATGAAGCTGTTTTATATATTTTTAAATAGCTTATTGATCATCCCTACCTATTCCATGAGTGAATCTTAATTGTCCAAATGAAAAAGAAGCTATTCCTACATTGAGGCATCTTTGAAATGTAGGAACAATATGCCTTTAGACAGCTAGGTTTGGATCAGCTAGTAGTACACTTTGCAAAGGGGATTATCTAAATTGAGATTTGCTTCCTCCCCAAAGAATGCAGTGGTTGTGTCTGGGTGTGTGATTTACTAGTTTGAGTATGATGGGGTCTCTGCTGTCAGCGGGGTGAGCTGGCCCTTAGGAACGTTCACCACTTCTTTGGCAGAACAAGGAGAAATATTTTAGGAACAGGATTATACTGCACAGTCATGCTGAGAGGCCTTGCTGGCTTACATCCTGACAAATTAAATGCATCACTTGTAAGGTTGAAAATGGATCTTTGGCCTCATTAAAGTCACTTCGTTATCCCCTAAATGACAGAAGGCACAAAGCAGGAATATGATTGACAACATTTGCTCTACTATTTGTTTTCCTAACAGTCTAGTATGGGTGACACAAGAAATGGGAAATATTAATATTTACCCTGCACAAAGGGTATTGGTAATGACCACAGGTCTGACATGTCATTGTCAACTTCCATTGGATTCCTCCAGTATGTTTCCTGCCACTTCTGCTCACAACAATAGAGAAGAGATAAACAGGGAAAGATGACATAATGCAAATTCCTTCAGCTGAACCAAATGCGTAAATAGATCTTTTGATCTAAAGGTTTGGTCAACTGACCAGATTTCAAGGCACATGCCCATGTCTAACTTAACCCCAACTGTTTCCACTGTGGAAGCACGGCCAGTTGAAAAAATATGCCAGAAGAAGTTCTTTCTGCCTCACTATGATTTAGAGGAAGGGAGATCAACATTCCATGTATACAAAGATGGAGCACTTGGGTTTTTCTTGATGCTTTTGTTGAATATACAGAGTGAGGATTAGGGAAATCTTCAGTAAGCCCATACAGAGTGAAGCAAAACTATACATGTGCTCATCGTTCCAACACAGTTTTAGCAAAGCTGTCTGCTGCCTTGCTACCTCATATTGGGTAAACAACTGTGCCAGGTGTATTAACATAGTATATGCTTTACACTATATTAATACTTCAACTGACTCTCTTCAAAGCACTTATTAGTATTTCCATTGTACACATAAACAAACTTGAAGTTCACAGAGGTCAAGTAACTTGACTATGACCAAACAGCTAGTGTATGGCAATGTTAGGGTTCAAGTGCATGATGACTCTCTGTCTTAATTATTATAAAAATATTTTTCCAACATGATGCAGCTTCAAGATTAATTGATGTGGTTGTCAAGTTATCCTCTTAACACAAACAAGTATAAATTTGAGGAAAGGAGTAGGCCAGTTGTTTTTGGCATATTCCTACATAGATCATTATTTATTCCTCCTAATACTGGAGTAGGAAATATAAACTATTTATTTTACCTTAGGAATTCACTGAGGTTCTTTGACAAGTCTCATCTATCTTCTAGCTGGAGTTTATGGGAAGTTATTATGTTAATTCATTTTAAGTTATTGAAGTGTGTATAATTTCAAGATACTAAATCATACCTTATGAGCAATGTATTGTAATGGCATAATAAAATATTGATATTTTTCATACTTAATCTGACCAAAGAAAGGAAAAGTTAAATTACAGTCTTATTAATTAAAGCTGTCTTCCATTTGATAAATTCTTTAGAAAGTACTAAAGTAAATCTTTCTAGCTTCTAGCATAAAACTAAGTTGAATTGATTAAGGGATCAAGGAAAAGTGTTTAAATTTAAACTACTTTATTTTATACATTGTAAATGTGTAGAATTGTAAATAGAACACCTACAGATACTGATTGAATGGAACATTTTCCCCCTCATGTTTTTAAAAATGAATTTTATTTATATAATTTTTTTCATTTAAATGTTGTTAACCTTACAATAGGACAGTGAAACACACCTCTCAGCCAAACTGGACATCCGGGGGCCTCAATGCCTTCCTCTCCCTGATTCCTCACAGCTCATGAATGACTGTGGATGCTGTCAATTTCATCTCCTACATGTTTTTTCCACCTTATCCTGTTATTTCTAGTTCTACTATCTTTTAGCTCAAACCATTCATTCTTGTCTTAGCCTTTGAAGTGACCTCTGCCTTAAGGCTTAATGTCTCTCAAACCTAACCCCCGGAGCACTGCCCCATCCCACTTTCTAATATGCAAGTCAGATCACTCTCCCCTTCTGTTTAGGTACCACATCCACTAATTCAGCCCAACTTTTAAATCTTCAGACAGCATCTGCCCAACCCACAAATGATGCTCCATACTGCCTGAAGAAACTCAAGTTCTTTAGCAGAGTACACAGTCCATGATCATTATAATCCTAATTTACAGCCTTGCTTCTATAAGCCTTATGAAAGTTTGCAAAGTCTGGTCTGATAGCTAAGAACATGAACTCTGGGGCCAAACTGCCTAAATTTCACTTTTCTTCAATCGTATTAAAACTGACTCTTCCACGTATTATTTGTGTGACTTTGAGCAAGTTACTTACACTCTCTGTGCTTTAGTTTCATAATTTGTAACACAGGGATGATAAAAATAGTAGTAAATGGAGTTGATGAAAGATTGAGTTAATGACTATAAAGCACTGGCAACAGTGCCTGACACACATACTAAGTGTTCTGTATTCTAGTCATTAGTGTCCCACTGAAAGCTGGATGTTATTTCAGACATATTTAATGTTTGACTTACTTGAAATGTCCTGTAGTTATTTATTCAACTCACACATTTCTTCCCATCCTTCAAACTCAGATGTTACTGCAGACATGACACCCTCCAAGACCCCTTCTCTGACTCTGACAAGTAGACTTACTCATAACAATTTATAACACTGTACCTGGTTTTTGCCCCATTATTTATTTCACTTACCCCATCACATTGTAGTGTGTGTGTGTGTGTGTGTGTGTGTGTGTGTGCTTACCTGTTTATTATTAGGTGTGAACTTCTCAAACACAGAGACTATTTTATTTATCTTTATTTTCATGCTCTTAGGCACGATTCTCCACAGAGAGTATATTTAATATTTAATACTTTTTGAAT